TCCAGTTGTGTTTTGGACATCCCAATGTGGGTACCCTTGGGTTCCAGGTGTATTTTGGGATGTCCCAATGTTGGTGCCCTTGGGTTCCCGTTGTGTTTTGGACATCCCAATGTGGGTGTCCTTGGGTTCCAGTTGTGTTTTGGACATCCCAATGTGGGTGCCTTTGGGTTCCAGTTGTGTTTTGGGATGTCCCAATGTTGGTGCCCTTGGGTTCCGGTTGTGGTTTTGGGTGTCTTGTTGTGGATATCCCCGAGTTCTGGTTGTCTTTTGGGTATCCTGTTGTGGGTGCCTGTGGGTTCTAGTTGTGTTTGGGGTGTCCTGTTTTGAGTGTCCCTTGGAGTCAGTTGTCTTTTGGGTATTCCATTGTGGGTGCCCTTGGGTTCCAGTTGTGTTCTGGGATGTCCCATTGTGGGTGCCCTTGGGTTTCAGTTGTGTTTTGGGATGTCCCATTATGGGTGTCCTTGGGTTCTGGTTGTATCTTGGTGTCCTGTTGTGGTTGCCTTTGAGTTCTGGCTGCTTTTTTGATATCCCTGAGTCCCAGTAATGTTTCAGGTGGATGACGGCCATGTCTCTGGAGAATGGAGAGCTGTGTCTGTTTGCCTCTCAGCCATGGGGTTTTGATAAAGGCATTGTGATGAAGTAAGGCTGAGCCATGGGGTCACTTGCTCTGACAATGGCAAATGTCATTCTCTGGCTGGCACAATCCCTGTGGCCAGGGCTGGTGCTCAGCTGTGGGGCCATAGACGCGTCCTCTGACATCCCTACCTCAAACCAGAAACAGCAAACCCAGGTTGTGCCATCAGTCCCCTTCTCTCCTGGGGGGTTTCCCTTGGCAAGGAGCCAGGTACCCGCAAGCATCCCAAGGGATGTGATGATTCCTTAATGGAAAGGGGAATTGGAGATCTACCCGCAGCTATCAGCTGTAGGAAGCAGCTTTTGGTTTCCACTACCAATGCTGCCCTGGCCATAAAACCACCTGTGTCTTTTAAATAGCATTTGTCACTTGACTGGCAATGGAATCACACCAAGTTCTGAAAACAGCATCGTCACTGAGCCCTGTGCTGCTCTGCTCTTTGAATCCTGCTGTTTGTTCCACTGGAGTGGGGCTGCATTGAAGGTGTTGGTGCTCGGTTGTAAAGGACGAGGAAGAAGCAAATTCTCTGCTTCTTGCTCTGATGAAGCTTTTGGCTCATGGTTGTCCTGCACAGTGACCACAGGAGATATGCAGACACAGCTCACCCTCCACTTGGCTCACTGTGAGGTTTTGAGCATGGAGTGCATCTCTCAGTGCTGGGCAGGGTTACCCCAGGACCTCACAGCCCTGCACCACGATGAGGGCATCCACACCACACAGATTTGGTGTCCCGGCAAGGAGCTGCTGGAGGAAGAGCCAGGGTGAGGCAGTGCCTTTAATTAGACCAAGTGATGCAGCTGGAAAAAATGGCCAAGCGCAAAGGTGCACCGGCTCAAAGGAGGGCTTGTGCTCGTATTTTTTTTTCCAGCTGTCTAATAAAAGCCACAGCTTGTGCCTGCAGAGCTCTCCTGGGGTGCCCTGGGGTGGCTGCGGCTCCATTTTGTTGGGAAGCAAAACCCCATTCCCCTCCAACCACCCATAGCAAACTAGCCTGTACCCAGCTGGAGAGCCGTGCCCTGCTTTCTGTTTTCCTTGGCTTTGCTGTAATGCTGAGTTCTGGTTTAAGTGCCTGTGAGATGGGAGCACTGGGAAACGCTGGAGGCGGTGCTGCCAGCGCATCTCTACCTAAAGGGGATGCCAATAGAGCTGCCAGCTTTTGGTCCTGGTAGGTGCTGAACTTTACTTGTGATATTCTGTTTGAATTAAAATGGTTTTCTTTTTAAGGGGCTTTTGTCACCAGGGAAGAGTCGGAGCCCTCGGTGCTTCGTCTGTGCTGGAGTTGGTGGTACCTTGTTGAGGCCAGGCTGGATGTGGCTCTGGGCAGCCTGGTCTGCTGGTTGGCAACCCTGCACATAGCAGGGTGTTGGGACTGGATGAGCATTGTGATCCTTTTCAACCCAGGCCATTCTATGATTCTAGGCTCTTGTAATCCCTCATCAAACCCCACTGTTATCATTAATTTAACTTAGAATCGCATAATCATTAAGGTTAGAATAGACCTGTAAGATCCTCAAGTCTAACCCCAACCCATCCCCATCTGCCCACTGAGCACGTCCCTAACTTGTAGCCCGTGAATGCCATTATTTTCCAGGCTGGGAGCAATGTTTGCAATCAATGTGACTAACTGAAATAGTGATTAGTGTGAACGTTGGCTTTATTTTAAGACACATTCGTCAGTGCTGCAGCCCTCCAGCTCCGTGCTGCTGGCTAATGTTACTGCAGATAACCTGCAGGGAAAGGGCAGGTCACCTCGTGCTGCTGAGCTGTGGGGTCAGAGCTGAGTGCAGTGATTTGGATCCATTTCGGGGTGCAGATGGGTTTGGGGTTCCCCCTACCTGCTCTGTGCAGCAGCCCTCAGCCAAGCACCGGTGGCTGTTGAAGGCTTCCTGCTGCAGGGGCAGCCCAGCAGTGGGGCTTGGCACCGAGGGGACCAATCCTTGCATGAATCATGCGTGGATGCCTGTGTGCCTCTGAGTGTGCATCGCCCACTGTATTTTCTCCTTCTATATTCAGTACATAAACAAGAGCGGCGCTCTCTGTTAACTCTTGGCTTCCCAAGAGCTGCTTCAAGGCTCTGCGTGAAGCTGAAGGAGGCTGAGGTTTGGGTTGGAGCAGGCAGAGACCCAGGGCTGGCTTCCCCCTCCCTGGCAGGAGCTTTTCTCAGCTTTGCCACGCAGCAGGCGAACGCCTGTGGGTCTGTGGTGAGA